GCCCTTATTGATTTTTGAATAGCCCAATGAAGTCAGAAAATGGCAAAATCCAAAAATCGCCCTGGATCCCTGGATAATCAAGTTATGGTGAAACTAAAAGCATCATTCAAATATTTGAAGCTTCAAATGCTTCTATGCAGAGTATTGTGCAATTTCCATGTTATTTGACCATGTTTTTATGCCATTTTGTGTTCATTTATGTTGTTGAACTTTGGCATGGAAATCGCGATTTTGCTTAAATATTAATGATAAAAATTCAACAACAAAATATAAACAACCACCTTTATTCAAACTTTCAAATTTCATCAACAAATCAACTTGACCAATTATATCAACATAAGCTAACAATGATTTATTATGATGCTTGATGAGGGTCTTGTGTAGCAATTTTAGAAGCTCCAATTTGTCGGTTTCAAGAGATAATATTGGGAGGTTGGTGTTAATTAATACTCTTGATCAGCTGCTACATTTACCCCCAGAATAAGAACATCAGGAACTATGAGATTGAAGCTATTTACAATTTAAATGACTCTGGATTTCAACTTTGGTCTTATAAGATTACTGTTCTGTTTAACAAACCAGTTGATAGATCTTCAACTGAAACCCCATCTACCCGTTGGAAATCAAGAAGTCATTTACGTCCAGATATTCATTTTATTTAAAACTCTCAAGTGTTTGCTTGTTCGAATGATAAAGCTCTATTCCTCTTTTGATATCAATGTTGAACATGGCTCAGATGTTCTCGTGTCCAACCATAATTCCACAGATTCAAAACTATCCCAACTTGATTTACTTGCAAATATGGGTAGTTTGCATTGTTTGATACTTAGAAACACTTACTAATGATCCAAAAAATACATTGTTATTGCTGAAGATACATCTTAACAGGTGTTAGGGTCGGATTGTTACTTTCAGCTTAAATGATCAGCTATGGTTTCACAACTAGCAAGTATGGATAAATTATACATGGACAATAATAATGATACAATTACAATGATATACAGTTATTATGGAACAATCAACATTTGGTATGACCATAGTCGATGGTTATTTCTTCCAATCAATACAAATCAATTTTTACAATACTACAAAGGTGATCCAAAGATTAGCAAATGACTTTTTTTTATTTTTTTTCAATCTATTTAGCAGTTTATTTGGATTTTTTTTTTTCTCTTTTTTTGATTTTAATGTTTTTTTTTTTTGATTTTATTTTGGTTTATTTCTCATGATGATTTAAATTTAATGATTGATTCAACTTTTTTTGTATTTTTTTAATTGTTTTGAATTTTTTTTTCTTTTTTTTTTTACTTAATTTGATAAAATTGTTTATTGGTTGTGAAGTTTTAAGCTTGATGTTTGTGATCAGAGATCATTTATTCTTGGAAAAAGATTTGAAAGGATTGGACGCTTTAGCTTTTAAGCTCTTGCTTTTGTCTTTAATGGTGTTGCTTATTGAATCTCTTCTTGAACGTTGTGACGTTGTCTTTTGATTATCATTAATTTCAGAATCAGTTGGAACATTAGTTTTATTAATAATGATTTCTGCAGGTACAGACTCTTCATTTATTGATCTAACAGATTGTTTAGAGATAAGGCTGGTAAGCGGTTGTGCCCAAGAACCAATGGTTAAAATTTCTGTACCGGCCAGTGAAATTGCAGCAGAATTTTCTTCAGTTTTATCATTGGATTTATAGTACTGGGTAAATAGATCATCAGTCTCTTGGACATTTTCTTCCCTCTTTAAAGGGCTGCGTTGCCACCTAAGTGAGCGCCAAAGACTCTTTGTGATACCTTTTGTGGTTGCTGATGAATTTTTAAATTTAGCCCAAGTTCTGTCTTTGGATTTCTTTGAGCTAAATTCAACAGAACTACCTAATGATGATTTGGATTCTCCAGTTCTTGATATTGGTCTAAATAATGATTTTGAATCAGCATTATTTGAAGGAGAATTTCCACCTTTATACTTTAAATTGTCAATATTTGAAGAAGATTCATCATTATCATCACATTCTTTACCGCCTCTGGATTTGACAATTAAAGATTCATTATCATCACCTTCTTTTTCACCACGTTCTTCACTCTCAGAATCTTTTGCCATATTATCATCTGATGGAGAAGGTGTTTCTTGTTTAATTAAATCATCTTTTAATGAAAAAACATTGTTTTGGTATAATTTTGAAATAAAGATGTGGATATATTCATTCAACTCGTTGTGTTTTTGAAATTCTGCTAAATCTTGAAACAACATATCATGGATATATCTTTCTGTGATAATTTGAGTTCTCTTCACCATTTCATCTAAGTTTTCTTTTGAGGGTAAATTTAATTGAAAACTAACTGGTCTATCTTTTGTTACCAGCCTTCCAACATTGGACTCAAAACCATCAACATGAATGTTCAAAATAACAACTAGTATAAAAGTATTAGTTAATGAATTGGACAATCTATAAAATTAATTGAAATTTATACTTACATATGATCATTGATAATGACTTGTTATATACCTCTAATCGTTTTGTTGGAATTTTCAAATCATTATTGGACAAATTTTCATCAGAGAAGGTAATAAAATCAGGAAATTTGGCAGGTAAAACGTTTGTTGGTAATTGCTTTCCCTCAATTTGCAATTGTTTTACTTCTCTTTTGATTCTCTTCAATTGTTTTGAAGAAACACTCAATGAACGGTCTCTATATTTGCTCCCGGTAGAGAGTGTGTAATTGGGCATTCTGTAGCTCCAGAATCTATTTCGATTGTGTTCACTTTTAATCAAATGTGAGTCTCCACCTGTCATTTTCACCCTAATCAATTAATGTCAAGCCTGAACTTCACTCTGATCTTACCGCTGCGATATAAGGATCTTGAACTCAAACTTCAATCCCATCAGATCTAGATATACACTTCGGAATTGCGAATTTAAATCTGATCTGTTTTTCGAACACAAAAACACACCGAAATTCTTAACTCATAAAGTACATGCGAAGAATGGCGGACGATTATAAGCCCAGAGTTATATATATTGAGCCTACTCCTAGTTCAGTAGCGCGGTACAGTACTTTAATTGAGGTGTATACAAACACATATCACACCAGTATTATTAATCGATACAGTATAAATCTAATATCTCTATAAAGCTAATATCTCACATTCTGTGAAGCCATCACGCTATATAGCGGCTAAACAATAAATCATATTTCTATCAATAAAGCATAATTATCTACCTTGATGGACTTCACATGGGCCAATACCTACCACTGCAAGACATTTAGCTGGAGATAGCTACCACATGCAAGAGAAATTTAGAGTTAATATAAAAACCTCATTTCATATCACTTTCGAGTTGGTCAAAGTTCCCTTTTAATAATTGAGGGAACCACTTCAATCTCCTTATTTATCGGGAATGGCGTGGTTATTAACAAGGGTGGAAATAACTTTATGACCAGACAAAGGCTCACATAAGTCACGGCATGATTCTGGAGGAGTCACTTGTTCTTGTGTTAAACGCAACCCATTAATCAAAAGAGATACTTTAATATTTGTTTCAGAAAAAAGTGTTTGTACGATTTTGGCTAAAGAATCGAAGGTTTCAACTTCCGATTTAAAATGTCTATCTTGAATGAAAATATCCCAACTTTTTGACACTGCTCTATCTGATAATCCGGTATAAATGTAGTCATTGTTTTTGACAGTATTGATCGACCTTCTTCGTTTGCGATGAATTCTGAAGGGTGATTTTTTTTTCAATTCACTTTCTGATTTGATATCAGCCATCTCTTTTCTTTTGCCATGCTTAATATAGAGTGCAAATAGATCATCCAAATGGTTGAGTTCCATAAAATATACATGCTGGGGAAACTTCTCATTTGTTGGAACGTGTCCGTTGTAACCAGGCTTGAAAAGATAATTGGTTTGTAATGTTCCTGGGTCTTGTCTCCACCTGGAATTATCAAAGTTATCATTGAGATTGGTAGCAAAGAGTTCGATTGATTCCGTTTGAAGCTTTGTCAACTTTGAGCCTGAAGCATTATTAACCATATTTTCTATCATACCATTCAAACTTAAGTTTGAGCTTGGTAATTTTCCAGAAGATTGGTACATTACTTCTTGAAATCCATCCAATATGGAGATATCAACCGTAACACTTTGTATCATATATTTTAGAGCAGATTTTTCATTTCCCAATATATGATCAAATAAAAATTCAATGCTTTTGAGACATGTAATGAATATTGCACCAGTATTATGTTTGATTGCTTCATGGCTTGATTTGTAACGTATTGTATCATATATTCTGGTTACTTCCAAAAATTCAAAATCATGTTTAAGTCCCTCTTTGCGACGTTTAAATATCTCATAACCATTGATACATGGTTTATGGGGATAATCAGGTCCATATTTTAAGAAATTTGCATCATTAGCTCTTATTTTTGTAGTTTTAGTTAGAACTAATAGAACTTGTATGTCCTTGAAATCTTTGTATAGCTTTGGTCCGATAAAATTGTAGAATTGAGTGTTAACTCGTATGAAGACTTTCGGATCGGCACCCATCATTATTATAAGATCCCAGACTTCCATCGGTAGACCTCCAGTGAGATCATTAACTCGATGATAATCATCTGATGTTTTCACATTTGGTTTGCCTTTTCTTTTGTGAATTTTGCATTTAGATAAAGTATCAGTCACTAGACTCTTAAATTTCTTATTGGTATTTATCAATGATTTATCAATACAGTAACGTAGAGGATAATGAAGCGTTTTCACATTCCAATAAGCTTGTAGCACGGGTCTAATATATTTTATTGCAAATTTGTATTTCAATTCCAAATCCTTTGGATCTATGGTGACTTCTTCACCGTCATAAACATAAACAAACTCATCAAACCTTGGAAAGAATCTGGGTATAATGTGATTGTCAAAAAAATCTTTGATAGAAGCAAAAAGTTGATAAGAGTGTGGCATGACAAATTGTTGCTGAGTAATATATCACTAGTTATAATCCGGTTTGATCTTTGTTTAGCAGCAAATTGATTTGTACGTACTCAGATATGACTACCAAATTAAAGAGTTACAAAAGTTTCTGGACAACATGCACATTATATATTGGGATAGATCAATGAATTGTGACCCTGACTAGACGTCTAAATGCTCTCTTTTTCATCATCATTAATATGAGCTGATTTCCAGATATTTCTCATTTAAATGTGCGAGTTGAGTTTAACGTTGGTAATGGATATGTCGATGTTAGTTTTAACTTTTCACTCCCAACAGAAAATGGGGCCCAAATAGCGCTGTCATCATGATCGGGTGAATAACCTTTCAAGAGGGCACTTGAGTTAATAAACTGCGAATTATAAATTAAAAAATACACAATCTAAGAAGATGGGAATCGACAAATAGTAGAAAAGAATAGACATGACTCTACTTTATTAATCAACTATACCATCAGCACATTATCCACTATTTGAAGCTCTAAAAAAAAAATCGCAAAAAAAAGGGTATTGATAACCGCGAGGTTCGAACTCGCGCCTCCGAAGAGACCAGGACCTTAACCTGGCGCCTTAGACCACTCGGCCAGGTTACCTATACCTGTTAAAGGCAGCACTAGTTTCTGGCTACAATCTGCCTTTTTCGGATATACGCGGACCCTCAAAATTTTGGGGTTTGAGCCTATATATGGAGATGAAAATCAGCTTAGATGCTAGTTTTTAATCGAAACTGTCATCGAATAGGCTTTCGATTTCCAAATAGCATTATAATTGATTCTGTGACTACTTTTGTAAGATATCAATCTCGCTTGTAATTGAAGTCAGAAATGGTAGTGACACACTTTTCAGTCGTATTCCTCGTAGAAGTACAATCTAAAGTAAGTTAGTGTATATTATATTCTTAAATTCTAGACGTTGATTGATCGGTACCATATGGTATACTTACATTTCTATCTTCCTATATCATTATTAAGTACCACAAGGGTGGTCTTGGTAAGAAGCAAGGGAGGACGAGAAACGTCTATCTCGAGCAATACTTTAGAGATCATGTATATATAATATGAGCTGGATTGCAGAAGTTGATTAGATGTCTAACCATGAAGACCGGTAAGATTATCCAACAGATGTACCAATATATTGAGCATGTGGCTTAAATTTGCTCATTAATTGATTGCGTCGTCGTCCTAATGTCTTCATGGCTGTACCATAATTAGCTTGAATCTTAAGATTTACGTGATCTAGTATACAGCAGATCTATAGAGCTGGATAATAATTCTAGCTGGTGTATATACAGGGTTCATTCTCACGGTACCATGATCCGTTAACTGACGGATTGACAAATTATATTATAGCTGCAGATGTTACATAATTACCTTAATATTATGATCAACTACATAGCTCAAAACATATAAAATCACTTCAATTGACAAATACACGTCGAACGTATTTTTGAATACTCGATCCTGAGGAGATATAAGGTACTAGACAAACGTCCAAATTATTTAATTATGGGGCTATTATAGGTTCAGTTATAATGGAGGTGAAAGGTGTATTAATCTTTACAAGCTCAGACGTAGCTTGTGTGAACGTCTAGTTACAAAAAGATTAATGATCAACGACACCAATACATTATGATCTCGAGAGTCTCATAACTCATTAGTTGTTCACATTCAAAGATATTCACACATGATATGTATCATATACGTCGACGTCAAAAGCTAACATATGACCAACATTATATATTTATTGATACGCCGATTAATGTGAGATCATATACTACCCAGACGGGCGTAGGTATAAATTAACTGTTTCATGATACTCTAGCTACAATTAATCTAAGAGATCAGTTGGATGATTAATATATATCATGATCGTCTCTTATTATATAACACCCGATCAGAAACTTATCATAATATACCAAGTACTAGTGAACACGAAACTCGACGTGTATATAATTGTTATAATTAGATGTTACATACTTTTATGCTAGCTCACATTTTATTATATATATGATATAGATATATATACACCGGACAAAAGATGATACGCCGTACTCAGATCAGCTTTCAAGTGATCGCACTTGTAATATACTGAAATACTTCTAGAATTGTGAAAGGTCATATTAAGTGATATACCGTAGTTTCAAATTTCGATCATCTTAGATTATTGGTAATCGAATGCATAGAAGACTAAACATCTTTTAAATCCCGAGTCCCCACAATAAATAATATAGACTATAGTAGTAGTGTAGTAGTATACTGTACTACATATAGTATCACATGATCCATCACATGACACTACATCAAGTCCATATTCAACCGAACCATTACTACCATCAATATCACAAATTCATCTGTCCATTTCTACTACAAGTGAAAAGTTTTCACCAAACCTCAATTCATCAACAATTCCTGAATTTACTATTAAATAGCTAAATTCCTCAATTATGTATATTAATTGTATATTACTTAAATTATCATCTTTATTCGTTACTGTTAACAGAATTACTACATTTACGTATTAAATTAGGCCTTCAAGTGTTATCTTAAGTCTAGTTATATTACTATCTGCTCTGTGCTATCTTTACGCTTCTCCTATTAGCTATAAGTGGTACATTTTGGTGATTTCGCAAACCAGTCTTGTTGGAATAATTGCAACCTACATAATATTAGAAGAATATTCACGGTTACACATCATTCAGTTCATTTCAAAAGACACAGAAACTAAAATAGAGAAACAACAACTTATTCAACATCTCTATCATGTCGTCAACTTCAGGTCCAGGTCCATCACCTCCCGAAGTTCCCAGCAATCAGGCAAACCCTGAACATCTAATCCAATTAGATACAACTCCAGCATCCACCTCGTTACTGTTAACAGAATTACTACATTTACGTATTAAATTAGGCCTTCAAGTGTTATCTTAAGTCTAGTTATATTACTATCTGCTCTGTGCTATCTTTACGCTTCTCCTATTAGCTATAAGTGGTACAATACGTAACTAAAAGTTTTTGACTTTCGTGCCTTAATTCTAGTTACATATGTTGATTGTGTTATATGGCATGTTCTGTAGCGGTGAAGCTGTTGAAAGGTTTAAATCACCAGTAAACCCGAGATGTGCATTTTTGGTGCTTTCCAAAGTAATACGCGTAAACAGGTAGCTGTCAAGACTCAATATAACCAATATGAGAACTTTGAACCTCATAAAGCATTAATAATAATTTGTTGAATGTCAAGTAGTCATCGCTGACTCCTACAATGTTAGCATTAATTAGCTTTAATTTTTGACAGGCTAGCTCGTTGGGTAAGTAGTAATGCTCGGTAGGTATCATGTATCAACCTTCATGACAATTTATAAAGCTCACCTACGCGAGCTGTGGAACAATATTATAATTAACTCGGTTTCATGGATATTCTACATATACAGATAACAAATGTATATTAGGCCGAAAACGTATCACGTCAAATAACGATAGGCCGGCAAATAAGATCATTTTACATTAATAATGTATTGGGGTTGTCGAGACTCCACAGGCGTTCGCGTTAATAATTCATCAAGGGAAAGTATCTACTACCTAGGTTACTCTCTTGACTGTTGTTAACCTGTGTACAAACTTAACCCCAAAGAAGAAGAAGCTACGTATCAATTTGACATGCGCTTCCATATTTTTAGAGCTGAGGCAGGATGTTCAATCGTATAATATTAGTTAACTGCGGTTCAAGGAGGAAAACTCAATATTAATTTAGGTTAAGCTTCAAACTTTAATAGTACACGTACGCAATGCAATCACTGCTTCCCATAAAATGTGGTAGGATCACTTGATATACTTCCTGGATTAAGAAAGCTGTTGCGTCCTGTGTTTAGTATAGCTCAATTAGATCATGAATCATATCGATATACCCTTAATTTCAAAGCTGAATTTCTAAACATACATGATCATTAGACGTTATACTTCGTTACTTCAATCTATAGATTCGCCGATAATCTAATAGTTTGGTCGACATGGCCTAAAGTAATTTAACAGTTAGTGTAAAACATCAAGGGACCGGTGTATTTCCATTCTGAGTATAATGAGATGCGATCAAGTATTTATCCACAATATTTCAATTGGCAATGTATAATGAAGTTCTATTTAATAATGATATATATATGTTGGATCTAAACATATTTATTATAATCTGTTCTTTGAATTGATTTAAGCTGGTATATATAATATGATAAGTTGATTATAAGCGAGCTTTGTTATATATTATAAGCATCATCAACATATTGAACCCACAGATCATATAATCCGATTATACATGCAGTATCAATATATATATCACATAATTACCTATATATATAGGTGCTAGCTATATAGATTGTAAGTATGTATCGGATGATTTGTAGATCTCATGTATAGATCATAAGAGTATGTGGATATATAATGTCCTCCAATTTTATATATGTCGTTCGAGTCGAATATACATTTAAGCCAAGGTCCTGTTTTCATCAACATCGAAAGCTAGGACGAACATCAACAATACATCTAATATGAGTAGAGCTGTACCAATTAATACGAACATCACTATAAGTATTTTGTGGTTAGTTCAAATTCGTAAAGTATCATGGCTACAGTTAGTATAGTTTGGACTCTGTATCATATAGTACAGTGTAATTACATCCTCGGATTATAGTAGATTATATGAAACCCAGTAACTCCACAAACTATCCAAGCGGTTCATGAAACCATAGATCATAATAGGATTACTCACATTGAAGATTATATACCTACACTTCATAATACAATTGAGGAATGAAGGTTGGTTGCAAATGCTCGATATAAAGTATGTCTAGAGTTTAAATCTAAACGGGAATTATCGCGGCTCACTTGGAAGTTTTGCGTAAATTATTTGCAGTAATTTTTTACGCAATTAGCATCGATGTAGTAATTACAAAATAGCAGCCTGCATAATTATAATTTATAATACAGCCATTTACACAACACTGATAAAAAACCCACTAATTTATGATAGATATGATCATTGATGGATTTGACCAAATTCATGAGATTATTTGAAAGTTTTGTAAAGCCAATTGAAATTGTGGCCCTCAGAAGCCATCCTTTCGTTAATTGAATCCAAATCCAATTATAGATCTTCCTATATATATAGATTTATTCCATAAGGTTCTTGAATCTGAGCCAATATACGCAACGAAATAACTAGTAGATCGTGTCTCGAACGCCGTAGATTTTGCTAAACAAAGCTATGATTTGGATTTAAATTCTATAGGGTACTGTGTGTACACCAGCTTACAAGTTCTTTAAAATCGGTATCTCCTGTTACTAGTTAATTTTTACGACAATCAAAAATCTGATAATGCGAAACAACTCATAATCAACTGATCAACAGCATTTCTATAACCTGTTCTAGACCAGTTTTGTACTATAAAGCGCAGAATGGTGCAAATTACTCGGGAGCTTTTCGCGAATTTACTTATAAAAGTAATCCTTCACTATAATAATGTAGGTTGGTGTACCTCTAAAAGATGTTTCAACTAGAACTAGACATGTCACTTTGAAATGTTTCGAGCTAAACTAAAATTCTGGTTCAGCCTAGCGTCTCACTCAGAATTTTGTACAGCTGGAGCCAGGAGCGGCGAGCCTGTTTAAATCAGTACCATATAAATTAACTAGCTTGACTACGTGGGCAGCCGGCGCTAGAATTATCCATGGGAGCTAATGAGAAATTAGAATGTATGACAATAGAATCAATTCTTTAATTTGACAATCAAGATTGAAATGTTAGCTTCAATAGGTAATCTGCGAATAAGATGTTCAGGGGCTAGCCCAGTTTCTAACAATTCATTCAAATCTTCAATAGAATTCAAACAAGGTTTCAATTCAGTTACGATCTCGATATATCAATATCTTCAAATTTGAAAACTCTGGGAAACTGGAGTTCAGCTTAACCTATTTTTTATTAGGAGGAACCGTGAAAGGAATGCCCTCTACCTATCTGCCTAGCTCCGCCTACGACTTTAAAGCGAATCTAAAGCGAATCTGCCTAGAATGAAGAGTCTAGAAACAGGTTACAGATAACCATGTATATTCCTGCTTCTATATATGCATAGTTCTGCCAAATCAGTCCAAGACCGTTGGTAAACTGGTAAACTGGAAATTTCTAGCTTTAAAATTACGCACCTCTTTGCCGATCATGTAGTGTAATGCTTCTTGAGATGCATTCTTAAGCATGTACAGATTGCCCCGAAAAGGTTTTTTTTTTTATTATTTCGCCCAAACTTTATTTGACTAGTCAAATTCTCAGTTTAGCTTATTCATTCCCCTTTACTTCGAGCGACGAGTGGATGTTTTCACTTTCAAGTATGAATTAAATGAAAAATTGGAATATGATTTGGAAATTTATATATCTATACAAATAATTCCCAATTAATTGAATTAAAAGACAAAATTTCAATTCATCAAACTCATTTATTCAAACTTAGACATATTACCTCATAAACTCATACAATCATCATGAGCTCGAGGAGCAGTACATCAGATCCCAATGGTCTTTGTCTCACAACATCAAATACATCATCATTGACATCAAATTCATCAAATTCCACAAGTATAAGTAATATATCAAACAAATTTAAAAATGCATTGAATCGTAAAAGATCACAAAGTTTCATAATACCTGAAAAAAAATCTTCAACTTTATCAAATTCAAATTCGATATCATCACCAAATGTGAATATTAGAAAACCATTAAGAAATAGATCTTTAGGTTCAATTCAATTTTCACCATCTCAAGCCTCAACCCCAACTTTCGAAAACTTAAACATTCCTCCAATGACAAACCATCATAATCATACACCATCATTAACTCAAGTTAATCATCCTCATGCATTGAATCATAGATCAAATTCAACTTCAACATCAATAAGTATAAGTGATTCTGAATCAATAAATATAATGGATATTAGTCCAAGATCTCCTACACCACTTGTATCACCATTATTCAAAATTGATGAAAAATTACAAAATCATGAAATCAAAATCAATAATGATGAAGAATTTTTTGATGATATTGCAGATGGAATTTTAGAAAGAATTAATAAAACTGAATCTAAAATTGACTGGAGTATATGACAATATCATTTTCATTTAGTACATCACTACTATAAACAAAACATACAACACATTCATATTAACGACATTAATTAAAATCATTGGAAAAGATGATTATTACATTACAAGATAGATAATAGATTACAAGAACCAGGTATAATTCTCAAAGTATAAGAAGGAATAGATCAAAGAGAATGAAGATATTCAAACACTGCTGGTCAGGTCATTCTCAAATAGGTTAAAGATATCTTATAACTTTCATTTTAATAATTTTGCTAATTTTAACTGAACATATATAGAGCTACTTATAATTTGCTACGATCCTTACATTTAAATATTAATGTCATCATGTAGACATTGTAACAAAAAAATACATTTCTATTCTATAGATAAAAACACACATTATGGGTGCAGTTTGTTGTTTCATTGTCCTTCTAGTTCACGTTTTGTTTGTGACCAAACTTTCTTTAAACCTAACAAACCTGACATTGTACCACTTATTAAATAAACTGCAGGATTCAAATTCAAGTTGAAAATATCAATGGTATCACATACAAAATCAAAAGAAAGTCTTACTATATCTAACTGTAAGATGTACTCTTCATGTTTCAAAGTTGCTAGTTCTTGGTTCAGGGTATTAGAGTTTGGACTTGAAGGTGATTTATTATTAAATTCTCTCAAGATTTGAGATTTCATTGGTGAATTACCATTTATATTTTCAATAAGCTTTCTGGATAATAATTGAGCTTTTTGCTTGACTTGATGCTGTATACTTAATTTTAGTTGTTTATTCTTATTTTCATTCAATTTAACATAATTCTTCTTAATACCCAACATGATATCTGCATACCAAGAATAAGCTTCATGTTTGGAGATAAAACTCTTGAAATTTGGATTTGTGAAGACACCAAGTTTATATAAAAGGACAATTTCATCACAAATACCATAGTATAAATCAATAAAATCACCTAATGCACCTTCATTCAAATATATTGACTGAAATTGATTGATAGATGGTGCTTTAATAAATGTATTAAATTTATTGAAAAATTCACGAATTCTATAACTTGTACCACCAAATCTTAAAATTTGTCTAAAAATTGATATGTTTTTAGTTACTTCAAATATTTTCTTTTCTAAAATTGTTGAATTTAAAAATATCAATAATTTCCCATATGTTATTGGTGTTTTGAAAAGTAATTTAGGATCTAATGATAAATTATCAAATTTTTCATTTATTAAAAACCTTCTTGATGTGGTCAAATAAAATTTGATCAAATTCAACACGTATTGTAACACTTTAGCTAACTTATCCTTACCAGCCAATTTCCCCAATAAAGCTTTGAAAATATCAAATTTCTTTGTATCAATATTCGTTATATTACCAATATTCTGTATTTCTTTAGCAATAGTAATTTCATCATTCTCTATAACATCATCATTATCATCATTACCAGCATCATGATTTACATTCTTCTTTGGAGACTTGAAAGGCGATGTTTGAATATTTTTCAATTCATGTCCATTTGAGTCAAACGACAATGATTGTGGTGATGGGGATTGTAATTTCAAATTCAAATAATGAGAATCACTGAATATATTGGATTCATTGATAACCCTTGATGGTGAATCCATCATAGACATATCCAATAGCAGCTCAATAAGCAATTCAATCGGTTATAAATGGACCTAATTGATACAATATTTCGTGTTTATGTTATCTAAATTTTGACATAATTTTGATGATTCATAATATAATCCACGGTAAAAAACAACAATTCGCGTATTTTTCGCGATGTTGAGCGGGTTGCAATACACATTCGCGTATTTTTTAGTTCTGAGAGTTACGCTGAGTGTTAACTGCTGAAACCTCTCTAAGGCTGATCAACTTAGACAGTATCACTCGGTAAATTACAGACTGGTTTGCCTAAAAAATCCCAATCAATAGAGGAAATTATCGGCTTTAAGCTTACAAGTAAAAATCGTACCACGAAAAGTTCAAAACCAACCCTGCAAACTCTTGATCAACAATGAAGAAGAACCAAGTTGCAAAAATTAAATCAGCCACGCACCTCATGAAGGGTCAAAGCTGCCTCTATGTATCCTGTACAGCTCTGGCAATGCTACTTGATAAGCTCGGATGATATACAATTTTGCGGAAGACCCTCAAAAGTTATTAGTTGACTAGTTGACCTTGGTTACTTACACGCGCTTAAAAATGGTCTATCAAATATACAGCTTGTCTACCACTAGTTAGTAGTTACTAACATCATAGAAGGCTAGAATTGTCTCGTTATACACTTATTATGCAACCTAGATCTTTCTCTGGTATTCTGTTCCTGGCTCTTGACTTTATATTTCTTTTTTTGCGAAACATATGGGTCATTTTAAGTAATGTTATTATGTATCTTCATTGTAGATCACAGAATCATCACTCGTACATCTTTATCAACTGATAGCTTTCTCCGAGCTTGAAGTAGGTATACGATCAACCATGTACATATGAAGCCATCCCATGGTTGAAATTGAAATAACAAACGCAACTCTTGAATTCACGAGGCAAGTTAAAGTAGTGAGTGCCGATAAGTTGTATACTTTTTGATGAGCTCTCTCATGTCATGTCAAATTTGTTCGTGAGCTGATCAAATATGGTCCTAAAAAAATCGAAATACGCGTGCTCATCAAATGTCTGATACATGTGCGATAAAGTTAAGTGCTATAAAGATCAAGTCTAGCTCTAGATCAGCCCTATATTGCATAGAGAAACCATAAAGAAGTTTCCTAAACATTTGTGGAATCATCTTTGAGACAAAAGAATCCTGCTATTTGGTAATAAACTTCGAGTTGTTTAATCAACTGTAATTTGTTTCAATATCTGGTCAAACTCAAAGCAACAGCATAATTTATAAAGCTACGTACTAATGACTTTATAGCTCTTTACCAGATAGCTCTTTACCAGGTGAGTTTCGAGTGTATGTCGTGAATATATGAAGAGGTGTACGGATTGCTTTCGATTTTCATGTCTTATTAATATGCTAGCGTATACCATATTAATAAATGACTTGATCCAGTTGGCTAGACCTCATCTGTATTGTCTTTATCTTTGAACGACAAAGAATCAGATCGAATTTTGAAGATGTTCGGGGGTCAGTTAAATTTTATATCAAGATCAAAGAGGTATATGAGTATCTGAAAATGGAATTCACCGTACTGAGGATCATTGTAGTACCTCATGAAAGCAATTTATTGAGGTACTTGAACAAACAAGAGCTAATATATCCACTTAGACGTCAAAACTTGGTGCCGATGATCAGGTTTTTGAATTTATGGTGATCCTGAGAGAAATTGGGGGTTCTCTAGAACCCA